AAAGCCAATCGAGGCAGGGTCAAGAGGATGCATGCGCCGTCTTCTGGTGGGGTCCACTTCGAAGATTTTCACCAAATACCTTCACTCGAAATGGAAGTAGGCCAAAGCCAAGAAGATAGATTTTTGCGTCTTTATGCAGCCTTAGTTTCCTTTTAAAATCCCCATCCTGTCTTCGGCTTTTCACAGCTCGCATATTTTTGTATGTAATTTCTATCTGATATCGCTGCGGACAGACAATCAAATCTATTTTACCACTTCTCCATCCCAGAATTCTATGTCCGTTGGACTTGGGCGTCTGCTAATCGTGCTTGTGATTATTCCCGTCTTCGGTCTATAGATGTTATGAGAGCAAAAATGAAAGACTATACATTTTTTTCTATAAAATGATCTCTCGAGTGCCCATTTGAGCGAATGACTTCGACATACAGGACAGAAGGTCGTCCATTTTGGTCGACTTGCAGCGCCAATGTGATCCTTCCATCATTTTGACTCAGAAGCTTTAGGAATTCATCCGAATTTTCTCTTTCCCACGATCAAAATACAAAGTGGCCAAGTTGGTATCGCCACATGAGTGGTCCTGTCGGCCGCGGTGATGTCTCGAAGTCCTCGTTTAATTTTTTCGTGTACACTTTCGCCAAAATATGTGTCAATAGAGGTTGCCGTTGAATGGGTCTTTATTGTCAAGTTGATCAGTTGTGCTAAAAACTCCTCCAGTTCACAGGATTGTATAAGCTAGAAATCACATCAGAACTTGGCAATAATTATGCTACTTCCCTTCATATGTTTTTTATACTTTGTTAATATTCTTACGAATTCTTCACTGCATTTTGTAATCCATCGTTTACTTTCTCGAGTTTCAAGTATATAATCCTGTCACATTTGTGTGTTTCTTCATACATGTCGTTGACTGTCATCCTCAGGAGTTTTTATTCTTTGTGTATCCTCGGCAATCCGTAGGCTGTGGGCGGTCGAAGGTCCTTCCATCTGTCAATCACTCAGTTTGTATGCATTAATTTAAGCATTCCCTGTTGTGTTTCCTTAATCTTCATAGTTGGGTTCTTCGTTGTTGCTCGATATTTGATTCTGTCTCTTAGTAAGCTTCCCATTGTTTAATGTAATAATTCCTGCTGATTATCACTGCCGCCCCCTTTTTTCCTCTTGAAGGACTAATTGGTCATACCTATGTAGGATTATGCATATTCTCTTCAATCTGCTTCTGTGTGAAGGGTCGGAATATGTCAAGATCCGCCTCTATTTCCCGTTTCTTCTCCTCGAGAAACTTGTCTCACTTATTTATGACCTCGACGAGAATGCCTTCAAGAACGCTTTTGCCATTTACTTCTATTTCCAGGATCGCAGTGGTTTCACAATTAACAGGGGCAAGGATAAATTCGTAACTTTGTTTTTAGTTGAGAAATTATATCATATGAGCGGGACTTGTAGTTGAATTTTCCCACAATCCAATGAGTAGACCTTACGTTTCCAATGAATTTCACATAGCCTTGTTTTAGTAAAAAGTATTCTCATGCTGAAGTTTCGACCTCGCCTGAACTGGTCTCGCTAGCACCTGCATCGGGACTCGAACCCGGGTCGCTGTAGCGCATAGTATAATATCGACATCTTGACCGCTACGCCATATCGCCAAGATGTGAATTTAAAGAAAGACCAAACCTTTTTTCCATATCCTCTTTCTTGGTGGGATTCTGTAGTGTAAGTCTCGAATAGCTGTTTCTATACGGAAAATCTGTG